TTAATTTACTCATTCAAAACACAGGATATTAATGAATAAAATTAACATTGGAAAATTCTGAGGTTTTATTGAAACTTTTTTGAAAAAGTATTAAATTTGTTTAACTGGTTGATTACTTTGCCTGAGGTTTCTCATTAATGTCTAGTTCATGGATTCTTTCAAAAAGAAACACAATGGGAAACTTTTGAAGTCTAATTCTAACTATTGTGTCTTTGTTTTGTCAAACTGTCTAGTACAGTGGGTAGCTCAAAGCATCTACTCAATTAACCTTTAAAATAATAAAACATTAGCCCAACAGTGGCTATTATTTATGCCATGTATTCATTTAATGGGTGAACACATTGAGATCTTGAAAGAAAAGTATTCTCAGTAATCAATACTGAATACATCATAGAAGCACTGCTTGCAGAGACAACAAAAATGCATGGGCTTAGAAGGCTGGACAACCTGTCCAACCACTGGGGTAACAGACACCTATGGAATGCAGGTGTGCATATGATGTCACTCTTTCATTGTGATTAGGTGTTACAATAAGAACATGGGGATATATTTTGGTCTCCAAGAAAATTTACTTCCAGCCCTAGCTGGTGTGGCTCAGTGGATTGAATAGTGGCCTGAGAACTAAAAGGTCGCTGGTTTGATTCCCGGTGAGGGCACATGCCTGGGTTGTGGGCAGGGCCCCAGTTGGGGGCGTGTGAATGGCAACTGGTACCTCTCACACATTACTGTTTATCTCTGTCTCTTTCTCCCTCCCTCCTCCTTTCTCTAAAAACAAATAAATAGAATCTTTTAAAAAAATTTACTTCAGGAGTTTTGCCCTCAATTCTATAAATGCTCCTGAAAACTATGGCCTTGTCCCATGGGTACTCCAGTTATGCATCCCTGAATTATTAGCAAGACATTTTGAGAGACCTTCTGTGCAAATTGCCATCTTGGCTGACCAAGTTTTGTATCTAACTCATTTTATTGTGTAAAGCTTATACTATTTTGACACCTAAAGAAGCCTTCTAAGTCATTAGATTTATATCCCCTTCTTTTTAAAAGGAGGTCTAGAAAGGCAGTCATTTAACACAAATAAACACCCCAGAGGGGTGTGGGTTAAGATCCTAATTGGACTCCGAGATCCAAAAGCTTATATATTGTTAGAAATATTTCCAGAAGCAGGAACAAGAAAGGTACAATAGGTATGCATTCCAGGTCTTGAGTTCCCTCCTTGTCTTGCAGGTTCTGAAAGCTTGCTCTCCCTCAGCCATCCACAAAGCCAGAACATCTTTGGTATCTAGTACCTCTAACCCTTGAGCCTAGTACCAAAGCCATGGGACCTTCCGCTCATAGCCCTGGGTCCACTTCAGCAGGTTCCACTGTCCTCAGAAATAGGATGATGAACCCTTTTTCAATTTTCCCCACTTTCAGCTACCTCTGATAAAAAGGGCTTTATTCTGTAAAGATTAACATACTCAAAGTGTTGCTGTTTTCTGTGTTCACATAAAATTATATTGACAAGATTGCCAATGTTCCAAAATGTTTAAAGTCATCTGATTTTCCAAATAACAACATCCACTGGAAAATTATTGGGCATCTGGATGGGTCACCTGGGGTTGAATTAAATTTTTGATATGCTGTGAAACTGGGTCAGTGCATTAGAATTGCATTTTAATAGTTATGAATGTGCTAATAGTTGTGAATTTAATAACATGCTGTTCCTCAGAGCAAATTGGCAGCACTCCCAGATTTCAGGAAGCTTATAAGAAATGAATTTCAAAATTCCTGATTAACAAATATATATAAGAAGTCAGAAAAGATAAATTAAGAATCTCCTCTTACAGTATACAATAAAACCTAGATTATTTTAGTAGTTATGATCATAAATGGGGCCTATTTGCACTGCAAAGGGCAACATTGTTTCATGGTGTGAGTAGCAACTAGAAATTCAGAAGAAGAAAAGTTTCTCTTCTGAGAATTTTTTATTCCAGTGAAGTCACTGTACTTGGCCAACTATTTTTTAGATGGCTTAATCGGGCAAAACCAGGACAAAGAAATGGGAGTTGTAGGGGCTTGAATTTGTATTGGATATTATACAGAACTTCTTTAACAACAGGCTCCCTGTACAGCTCATGCTTATGCAGAAATGGGACAACCACCTTTCAAAGATATTGAAGAAGGTATTTCTTAATTGGATGAGAAGGGCACCCAAAGACTTTCAAGGTCTTTTTTAAATTTTAAGACCATGCTCTTACATTCTGTAAAATGAAGCCAAAAGGAATTTTAACTGAATCTCTCTGGTAAATAATACATCTTAGAAATGAATTCTCACCTAACAGCATTTAGAATTTATTAGAACTAAATCTAGGTTTTCTGGAACCCACCCATGGGACAGTCACGGCTTTTGGATGTGAAAAGGACCTAAAGGGAGCTGCAGGAACCTGGTAGAGCACAGCACCCCAATGCTCTGTGGAGCCGGCAGGTGCTCTGAAGGCAGCTGTAAGATGAGCACATGGTGGAGGTTGAGCAAGCCTCAAAGATACTCAAAATATAAAGCAGTTTTGGTTTCTTTTCTTACCGAATCATTACCATTGACCCTAAATTTTTTTACATTAGAAACAGACAGGAGATGAGAGGTCTAGGACAAATGGTAAACACTGTGCAAATAGTCTTTTGTTGGGGTACAGCTATAGCCCATCTTCACCTGGGTGGTAGCACAGTCAAGTACAGATGTTTCTTAGGTATCCAAACACTTATGCAAGGCAAGGTTTTATGTTTGATCATACCCAAGGCTTGCATGTCATGCCCCTTCATCCTTTGTCCATACTTCTCCCTCTTACCCTTGCCCCTTCTTTCTATTTAGGACGTGTTCTTTTGTCACTGCTTAATCAAAGTTGACCTAAGCTGTGTCCTCATCCCTCCGGGTCTTCTAGATAAGTCAATAAGCTAATTAAAATTTAAAGACAGAAAAAAAAAAAAACAACCCAATCTGTGTAATCCTTCCATGTTTGCATAATAGTTGAGTTTTCTTAGAACTGAAAAAACCATTTCACAAAATAATGCTTCTGTAATTGTAATTCCATGCAGGTGGTCAGGTTTATAGTCTGGTGTAGTTATATACGTCACATGCCACAAGATGGGTCACCCCCTCTACATCTGGGTATAAATGTGGAAACTACATGATGATGAATTATCTTAAAATTCCTTACTACAATCTGTACTCATTCAACAAAATGTATTTATTTCTTCTGTAGAGAGTTATTGTACTCAAACAAATGCCATGGCTAAAACATATATAACATTATTATATGAAAGTTAGTTCCTCACTTTCTAAAACTTAAGTATAGCCTTCTTTATTGTGCTTTGGTTTATTTTTTATTTTTGACACATTTTCCTATTTCTTTTTCAGCTTTATTAATTAGAAATTATACTTATTCAAGGTATACAACTTGTTATATATAACTGTATACCGTATTTTTTATTACAAGACCCCCCCATTTGGGAGAAATAATGGTTGTTAATGCTGCTGTTGAGTTCTGTTTACATTTGCATTGGTGAAATATTAAGTTATTTTTGTTATTAAATATTTTACCACATTTTTTGCTTCAATTTTTTCTATTTTCCTCCTCTAAAACCTAGGTGCATCTTATAATCCAAAAATATGGTATATTTAAAGTATGCAACTTGATGTTTTGATACAAATATACATTGTGAAGTAATCATTGCAAGATAATTAACATATCTATCACCTCATATAGTTAGCATTTTTTGTGTGGTGAGAACACTTATGATCGACTAAAAATTTAAGTATTTATAGTCCATGGGATTAAGTTTATTATTTTTCCTATTGAGTACAATTTTGCTACTTTTTTCATAAGGAGTTCATTTGAGTGTTACCTTATATAGAGACTAAGGTTTTGGTTTTTTGGAAAGAAATACTTCAAAGGGTTATGATGTCAAAAATCCTCTAGGCATTGGAGATGAAATATGAGGAGAAGGGCTTGGCTCTAAGAAGTAGTAATCACAATGACTACAATAGAATCTACTTACCAGAGTCTTCTGCAAGTTAACCAAATATTGTTCCTGTGGAAAATGTATTTATGTACTATAAACATATAAAATTATACCATAAAACCCCAAACACAGGACACCTATTATGGTCACTTATCTGACAATAACCAAGACAAAGCTGATTCATTTGCTTCTCTGAACCAAAGCAATGAAACAGAAATAAGGTACCAGGTGATTCCAAATGAGTCCAGTTTCCGGCTTTGAAGTATCACTATTAGATCACCCTGAATTTTTTTCCCTCGCAATCTCCCGTTTTCACAGCACACTAAACCAAAGAGAGTAAATCTCCTTCCCACCATTTCACATGCTCAAACATTGTTTTTGCTCCAAGGACCATTTTGAAAATACATCAACCAGTGGAGCACAAATACTGATTACCTTTGCCACTTGGAGCCCAGGAATAAACAGCAACCTGTAGGTGGAAAGAACATCCATGTTCTCATACTTTCTCTTCCACTAAGGCTATAGCCAAACTGCTTAAAAGAAGAGTGAAACAGAAGCTTCAACCTTTTGACCTGTGTCTAACCATTGCTCAGGAGAGATAATAACATGGGTAGGACTCCATGTTTTTCTGAATAAATGGTACTTTGAGCTGAAAACAAGAACTGTTGTAGTCCCTATAGAGGCCACCAAGTCCATTTTTGGAAAACGAAAGATAGTGATCAAAAGCATTAGTTTATTCTTCTCCTCTGACATCAAGCATGCATATTACTTGTATTATCTCATTCACAAAAGGGAGAATTAAACTAAATATTCCACATGCTTACCTTAAACAATATCTCTCATATAGAATAAAGATACTGGTCCAAATTCATTGATTAATAAATATAATATTGTGCACAAGTTTCTTTGTTCAGTAAAAATACCACTCAGGAGTAGTGAATGCAGAGTTAATGGAACCAGAAGCTTATACAATTTGGGGGCAGGATGTCTTTTTAAAAAGATACCTTTCAGTTGGTTGGGTCCAGTGTTCCAGCAAATCTTCCCATGGGTCTCCTTGCTCCAGAGAGCTCATCACTTTTTACGAGAAATAACCACTTTCTTTGGACAAGAAAGCCCTTTCTCTTGAGGCTGGAAAATGAACAGGAACCCTTCCGGAGCAGACTTTCTCTATATTGCCTGCAAATGGCTTCCCAGAAGCATGGTTAGAAGAATCCAGTACCCAGATTCTGCCCTTGTTGATGTCACAGCTTTTTTCCATCCCCGTTTTGAAAACATAGAGAAGGACTAAGATAAAAATACCTGTGACTGCTATGAAGTAAACAGCATATAGGATAACAAAAATGGCTAAAGCAAGCATGAGATCCACAATGAAAATGATCAGCTTTGCCAACATGTCTGCATTTCTCCTTGTTCACAGAAGGTACTTAAAAAAATCACAAAGGCACCCACAGTGCAATTATGTCTTTTTAAGATGTGGGCAGGAAAAAAGACATTTCCAGACATGCTAAAGGATGTTGCAATTCTTCCCAGTATCTACCAGGGAGGCTGTAGAATATATTGCAATTTTTGATTTCTCAACTAGTACAAAACAGTGACTAAAGGTGAAGCATGGGATATTGCTCCACCGTAACTACTCTGGTGGAGAGAAGTCCAGGGGCTCATTTTGTCCCCTAACTGTGTAACTGAGTCACTTGGACTGGAATTTTCAAAGGTAGGAACACACTAATGTGATGCATTTATAATATGCAAGGCTACTATAGAAATCTGATGATTTTTTAAAAATTAAAATATACTAGTCTATTATAAAAATAAAAATAAAGCCATTTCAAACATGCAAAGACTCTAAAAGTTTGCCTCATTTGCATGTGTTTGAAAAAATGCTAGAAGGTATAATCCAATAAAAATATCTTATTTGTTAAAAGAGGATTACTTGGTGTATAGAATTTAACCATAGAGAAATTAATTAATTAGCTAGTTAATTAATTAACCCCAGAATCACTGCTCAGCAGCAGATACACAGGTAATAAATTCACATTGGAAAAGGAAGTTAGTTAGTGAACTACCAGAGATATTCTTTAAGAAAACAGTCACCTTCCTGTATTAAATGGTATGATTAAAAAGCATGATTATCTAAAAACAAGATATCCAGGATATTTCTTAGTTAACAAGGTAAATGAAATGTAATAAGAGAATGCAAGAACATAAAGTCGAACAATAAGGCATGGTTCTCAAATGAAGCAAACAAACTGAAGCATGATTTTGAATAAGCGATGAACTACGAAACATGAAAATCTATTTATTCTCAATATTCAGAAGCTTTACTCTAAGTAGCAGATCAAGAATGTGAGACTGTATTGCCAAAGAGTTGAATCATACTGCTTGATTTCACAATGAGTTTCTCCAAAAGCTTAATATTCTAAATGCTGTCTACTAGTATTATATTTTTAAGTACCAAACACACACAGAAACTATTAATTATAGTAATAGAACAGACTACATAGGTTATAAACCTCGACAATTTCAAAGTAATGGAATTTAGTTACAAAGTTTGGAGGCATAGTGAGGGAAATGGAGAGAGTGAGGGTGTACTGATTTCTATATCTTGCATCGCTGAATTTAAGGGATACTGTCAAATATCAGTGTAAGAAATAAAAATTAGGTATAGTTTTGAAAATAGTACAGAGGATCAACACAAGATCTAAATATATGAATTTTAAAAGATTGGTGAGATAGAATGTGTTTAAGAGGGTGTTAAATTCTTCATTTTCATGGCAGGAAATCAACAGATACTATTCAAAATTGCTAAACAAACTAGATGTATATTATCTAGACCCGAGATGTCTGATATGATAGCCACTAGCCACATGTGGCTATTAAAAATTTAAATTTAGTCTGAATTGATATGTGCGCTAAGTATGAAATACACTTAACATTAAAAACATGTATAAATATCTCCACATTTTAATATTGACTACATGCAAAATGATAACATTTTTATATGTGATTTTCATATATGATATATATTTTTATATATAACATTTTAAAATTATTTTCACCTCTTTCTTTTTGCTTTTTGAAGTGTGACTATTAGACCAATTAAATGTGGCTCACATTATATTTCTATTGGACAGCATTGGTCTAAAACTCTAGAGCTAATCACCAGGAGACCCCAAACCAAAGAATGTTAAAAATGGTTTCTCTGGAGGACAGGGTAGATGTGCAGGAGGAAAGACATTATATTTTCATTTTGTCTCATTTTGTATGGTCTCAATTTTTATTACCACCTCCATTATTTTTATTATTTTGAATAAACAGTTAATAAAATACAAATAAAAAAAAGTGCACAGTAAGTACAAATGCTGATACATTTTTCAAAAATGAATTTAGTGAGTGGATTGAAGGCAAAAATCAAAAGAAGAAAGTGAAGAGAATAATATAGATAAAATGTGAAAACAATATACCTTTTAATATATGAGAAAAGAATGAGAGGAATGGTAAGTAATTATAAGTGGAAAGGGAAGCTAAAATTATAAAATGCATCATATTCACCAATAGTTCATCTTTTAGTCTAAAATTTAACTTTAGTAATTATTGGGTAACTTTATACAGATTAGATAAAATAATAAACATGAAATAACTAGTAGATAATGGAATTGTGATGGTTGATAACAGCTGTATCTAGCTTTATATTTAAGTAATACATTTTGGCAAAGACATAGACTTGTTGTGAGTGCTTCCTTTAATTTTTAAAGTATATTTTATTGATTATGCTATTACAGTTTTCCCAGTTTTCTCCCTTTATCCACCCTCCACCCTGTACTCCCCAACCCTCCAGCTTCCCCACCATTAGTTCATGTCCATGGGTTGTACATAAAAGTTCTTTGAGTTCTCTTTCCTATACCATTTTTTCTTTCCCCATCTATTTTATGCCTGCCAATTATGCTGCTTCTTCCCTGTACCTTCCCCCCCATTCCTTCCTTCCCACCTCCCCACTGAAAACCCTCCAGGTGATGTCCATTTCTCTGATTCTGTTCCTGTTCTACTTGTTTGCTTAGCTTTTGTTTTCATTGTTTTTCTTTTCTTTTAGGTTCATTTGTTGATAGTTGTGAATTTATTGTCATTTTACTGCTCAAATTTTTTAATCTTCTTTTTCTTAGATAAGTCCCTTTAACATTTTATACAATAAGGGCTTGGTGATGATGAACTCCTTTAACTTGGCCTTATCTGGGAAGCACTTTATCTGCCCTTCCATTCTAAATGAAAGTTTTGCTGGATAGTGTAATCTTGGACGTAGGTCCTGGCCTTTCATGACTTTAAATACTTCTTTCCAGTCCCTTCTTGCCTGTAAGGTTTCTTTTGAGAAATCCATGGGTAGCCTTATGGGCACTTGCTGCTTTAAGATTCTCTCCTTATCTTTAATCTTGGGTAACTTAATGATGATGTGCCTTGGTGTGTTCCTCTTTGGGTCCAACTTCTTTGGGACTCTCTGGGCTTCCTGGACTTCCTGCAAGTCTATTTCCTTCACCAGATTAAGGAAGTTTTCCTTCATTATTTGTTCAAATAAGTTTTCAATTTCTTGCTCTTTCTATTCTCCTTCTGGCACCCCTTAATTAGGGTATTGGGATGTTTCGAGTTGTCAAAGAAATTTGTAAGTCTCCACTTTTTTGAATTATTGTTTCTTCATCCTGTTCTGGCATGATGTTTATTTCTTCCTTTTCTTCCATATCATTGATTTGAGTCCTGCTTTCCTTCCTGTCACTGTTGGTTTCCTGAATATTTCACTTTATTTTATTTTGGGTATCTTTCTTTTGTTCTTTCATTTTTTGACCAAGCTCAATCAGTTCTGTGAGCATTTTGATTACCAGGGATTTAAATTCTCCATCAGATAGGTTGGCTATCTCCTCATCATTTAGCTCTCTTTCTGAAGTTTTGCTCTGTTCCTTCATTTTGGCCCCATTTCTTTGTTCAGGGCCCCAGTTAAGTTCTAAGTTGTAAGGGGCGGGGCCTAAGTATTCACCAGGCAGGACAACCCTTCTTGCTGTGCTATTGCACTGCCTGTGGGGAAGGGGCCAGAGAGGGAACAATGCAGTTCGCCTGCTCTTCTCTAGCACACTTTTCAATAGACTCTCATGTGAGATTGGGAGTTCCTCCCACCGCAGCAACTGCTATAGTCTGCAGCCCACTTTGAGTCTTAGTTTCCCCTTAAATCAGCCCCGCCTACTCAGCCCACCACCTTGCTGGATTTCTCTCTGTCCACCACCTTGCTGCTCTGTTTGTTCTATTTGACTATTTCTTTAATTCTGTGGTTGTTGGACTTCCATGCAGTTTGATTTTCTGGCACTTCTGGTTGTTTACTGATTTTAGATTGTTTGATGTCCCCCTTTTGGTTGTGTGAAGAAGCAAAGGGTTTCTACCTACATCTCCATCTTGTCTGGAACTCATAAGTGCTTCTTTCTTAAAAGAAGCTTGTTCTTAACTAAAGGAAGTGATAAAGAACTTCAGGATCAGACAGCCTTAAATATTATCTTGTAAATTTAACCCTTTAAGCTTATAAAGCTGCTAGAGAAGTAACATCATCAGGGGAAAAATTCAGATTTTCTCTTATTATTGCAATTAAAGAAAATTTAGTAAAACTAAAGTTGCATACATTATTTAATAAAACAAAGTATATATTAAAATTTCTTCAAAATATTATATAAAGTTTAATTAATTTTAGTAATAATTACAAAAATATGAGTTTGGTCTTTCTGTCATGATGAACAGTATGTTTTCAGAGGTCATGTTAAGGAAACTTCTTTGTTGCTAAGAATTTCTTCCATCAAAAATGCCTAAAAAATTTTCAGAGTGGTAAACAGAAATGTAACGTAAGTATGAAACAATTGTCTTTTTGGATCATTGCTTTTAAATGGTCTCCACTGTGTAATTTTACAAAAGAGAGGACTATATCCCACTTTTATTTTTGGTTGTCTTTAATTTCCCATTAGAACATCTTGAAATATGCATTCAATGGTTTATGCTAACAGATTATATTTATTGTGTGGAGGTATTGAGATTTGTTGGTAAATTCTTTTTTATATATATATTTTATTGATTATGCCATTACAGTTGTCCCATTCCCCCCCTTCATTTCCCTCCACCCTGTACACTCCTCCCCCCACCTGCCCCCCCTTTAGTTCATGTCCATGTATCTCACAAGTTCTTTAGCTTCTATATTTCCCATACTATTCTTGCCCTCTCCCTGTCTATTTTATCCCCACTGTCTATGCTACTTATTCTCTGTACCTTCTCCCCCACTCTCCTCCTCCCACTCCCCTGTTGTTAACCCTCCATGTGATCTCCATTTCTGTGGCTCCACTCCTGATCTAGCTGTCCACTTAGTTTGCTTTTGTTTAAGATGTGGTTGTGAACAACTGTGAGTTTGCTGTCCTTTCACTGTTCATATTTTTATCTTCTTTTTCTTAGATA